TACTGAGTAACACGAGCTGGTTCGAGTTCCATTAGCTCACAATCAGGTTCGTTATCTTGTTCATCAGAAGGAGGTTCAGTCATAGAACTATTTTGACTAAGAGGAGGTTGTGCTTTATCTCTTCTTGATCGAGATGGACTACCTCCTGCTGGGAAAAAAGAACATTAATTTTCCAACAGATTAAAACTAGTTGTAAGTAGATTTTTTGCCTTGAGGCAAATCAAGTATATCAATAAAAATTGAAATTCAGCTATTCAGTTTTGAAAATAAAACTTTTGCTTTTTCTCAAAAATTAATCAATGCGATTTCCAATTACAATACATACTTATAATATCTGTAATTGTTTATTGTGTTTAAAATATTTCATTTTATCAATTTCGTGTTCTAAAAAGTGTTTTATTTATGTGTTTTATTTATGTCAACTGTAATCAACAGCTATCTACGAAATGGCAAAGAATGTAATATGCTTAAGCCAGTGGTGTAACTATAGCGTGGCGTGTGTGGCAAAATGCCACGGGCTCCCTACGTAAAGGGGCCCCGACCCAGGAAACCGCGGACTCGGAAATACATTTTTACATTGTATATAAATTTTATTTCACTTGAAACTTATATTTTATATTTCTTTAGTTCAAAGTTGGAGTTAATTATTCAACCAAGCTTGAATAGAACTTACATTCGGCCGAATATCGAATAGTTAAAGCAAAGGAGTCGCCGCCGCACAGCGAAAATATTGTGTTTTTTTTTATTTAAATAAAAATTAAAAAAAAATTACATTAAATTGTGGTCGATTTGGCCACCAGTAACTTTTGTTTATAAATTCAAATTTAGTTATAGTTTCGTAATAAATAGCAAAAAGTAACAGAAATAATAAATATGAACACTGTCAATTTACCATTACGTTGTTGTTCATCAGTGAAGAATACATTATCACCGCTGGTCTCTCCTTCAATAGCAGCTCTGCTTTCTGTAGGAGTGCCCTGGTCAACGCTCGGTCCTGCTTCCATACGATTTCTGCTCTTTCGCCGCTTCAACACACTTGCTCCACGCTTCATAACCTGTAGCAAAACTAAGTGTTAGTAACATTTATAATAGCGTGAATTAAAGACCGACATCACAAGAGCAAGTAAAGTTAGGATTTTCTAACAACAATATTTGAAAGTAGAATGAAAAAATATGCAACTTGCAATTGCATGCAATTGTTTTATAATATGTATTGTTAAGTTTAAGTCAGATTCAACAGTTTTTTTAATATAACCTCTATAATAGCATACACGTGGGCGGGATAAAAGAGACCACCTGATCCTTTACACTGGCAATGGTGTGAACAATAAAAAATAGTACATAAAAAGTAAATTAAGTTGAAAAAAGCAAATTTTCAAGATATAAGTTAAATAACTACTGGTTATTGCAACTCAAGTGATAGTTATTTCTGACAAAATACCAGATCAAGGTTATATTACAGTGTGATCAGTGTGATCTCAAAAAATTTATATGTTGCATTGGTTGCAATAATGTAGCTATTATTTTGTAAAATCCCTTTAAAATTAAAAATAAGACAATGGACCTGTTTGCCTCCTGGTTGTCCTATTTCGCCAAAGAGGTAAAAAGGACCAGGTTACAATTTTTGAAAAAACAGCAATTTTACAATAATAAATTAGCTGGGAGTGTTATTTGTTGTAATACAATTCAATTGGTTCTCACAATATAATTGCTTAAAGTCCAATTCGACCTTTGTGCCCCGCCCTACCCTATCTGTAATTATATTAATTATACTGTATTAACACGTGCACTAAAAGCACTTACTATTCCAAATTTTGATTAATTTATATAATTCAACCAATTTTCGTATGACTTTTCATTAAAAACGTTAAAACATTTTTTTTTTTGAATAACATTTTTTTGTGAAATATTGAACATTTGCTATAAGAAAATACTGGCTCAATTACGTATAATATGTACGTTATCCTTGACTTTATTTAATTCTTGAAATAAATGGTAGCATTTTCTATACAACTAAAGGATTTTTTGCACAAAACCAATCAACGCAGGTCCTTATCGAGTTACATCAAATGGCCTTTAAATTTTTAAAATCGGTTGAGCATTTTTTGAAAAAACGTCAACGAAACGTCGAAAATCGTATCACTCATACACACATACATACGCATTAGGCTTGCGACGAATAGTATATTCGGCAAAATGCCGATTACCGAATATTCGGCATTTTCCAGAGACCGAATACCGAATATTCGGCAATAATTCGGCAGATTTTTGACGCTTAAACTCGTTCGCATTAATGTAAATACTATCAGTAGTTGTTATAATACTAACGCGCTACAAGCTTATTCAAGTTTTATGCCTAGACTTGCAACAACTAATTGGTTACTCTTTGTAATTTGGAATAATTGGAACCATTTATATTAATCGGCCAAATACCGAATACATGAATACTAGGTGTGATAGAAAAATAAATGATAAAATCATAAAAAAGCGATTCTTTACATATATATAAATGATGCATTTCCAATTATTTCTTTCATAAATATTTAATAGTTTACTTTATAAACTCAATGCTACTTCTTATATATTAAGAAGGCAACTCATAATCAGGGGCGTAACTGCCGCCGTATCAGCCGTATCAGCCGTATCAGCCGTATCAAAAATACGGGAGCCCAAGCCCGTATTGCTCGGGCGCAAGCAGAAAGCAAAACAACATTTTTTCAGAAAAATGAATAATTATAACGAAGTTTGCTATCGATGTATTGAACTTCAATTTGTAAGCTAACGCTTTAAGAGAATTTATTTCTGCTGCAATATTTTTGTAAGCTCTAGCAATCAATTCAATTAGTTAAGCTTTTGCTCATCCGATAAGTTAAAATTCTTGTGCAGATATGAACAAATCTATAAAACTAATCCAGTTCATAAATTCTTCATAGAAAATTGGAATTTTTATATTTAGTAAGTTTAATAGATATATTTTGATAAATATGATCAACTAAATCATTTTCAGATTTCTTTCTTCACTGTTTCAAATTATTAGTTTCATTTCTGAAACTCTACAAAAAACTAGTATTTTATTAAGTAATCCTTTAAATAGTTTATGAGAATTACGATATAATTTATTGAATTGGTTTGCTAAATGAGTCCAAATAATTTGCAAAAAAGATGGATTGCAATAGCTATTTTAAAAAACAAAAGACAAAAAATAATGAAGCGTTATTATTGAGAGAATTTTAGAGTGAATAAATATCTGGAATCATTTATGAAAACTTCAACAAATTAGAGAGAATTAGATAGATAAATTATTAGAATGATAAATAAATATTCTTTTAATTTTATGTATTTTTATATTTTATGAAAACAAGTTTCTTCAGGAGGGGGTCCCCAAACAAATTTTGATACGGGACCCCGCCAAGGCACGCTACGCCCCTGCTCATAATAAAAAAATTGAAAAAACTTATTAAAAATATTGTTTGTATATTTGCCGTAAAGAGCCTATGATAGCTCTTTCTTTGAAAATGCTTAGATTAAATATATTGAATGACTTTATTGTATATAGATACATATACAACAAATGCGTGTAACCTTTTATGTAATATGTTTAACTTTCGTAGGGCAAGTTACAGTAATCGCAAAAAAATGAAATGAAAATGAAAAAAGAAAATGAAATTTTTTATATATCTTTACTTTTCAGTGGTTTCTGAACATTTTGGCATACCTTAGAAAAAATAGATGTGTGTGCGGATACAAATTTTCGTTGACGATTTCGGGAACACGGTTCAACCGATTTCAATTATTTAAAAAACATTCGATTCGTATTGATAAGGAGACGTGCTGATTAGTTTTTTGGCGAAGGCAGGTCTAGCCGTGCCGAAGATACGGGGCAAAAAGTGCCAAAAACGGTACCTCAGTTTGTAAGAGAGCGTAGCGTTCGATTTGAATAATTCAAGAAACATTTTATTTGTATTGACTAAATGAAGAACTGTTTAAATTTTTCGAAAGGCAGGTGCAACGACTTCAGAGATATGGAAAAGAAAGTAAAAAAAATGAGCCATTTGGCGGTCAAAAATGATCATTAGACATATGCACATCAAATTGTCAGATATTTTATGGAGATTTTAACAATAAGTTTAAATTTTGTTTACATTCCTATGGGTTCCGTAGCAATGTTTATCAGTTACACGGCGACGCACTTCGAAATTGCGTCTCTAGGCAGCTAAAGCAGTGCGATTGCTTTGAAAAAAAAGTTCAAAAATTCCAAAATATTTCGAACTAACAAAAAACATTTTTTTTCCAAAAAAGTCAATTTTTTCAAAGTTTAAAACATATTTAATTTTTAAAAAAAAAAAAATTTTTGGTACGAGAAGTTCCAACAATTTTCCTTAACGCAAGATGCCATATAAAATTAGTTATGCATGAAATAACAAAAAAAATATAACGAAGTATTCCTTTGAATATTCAGAAAAGGTTTTTAAATTATATGTTAAACTTCATATATTAAACTAAACACTTCCAAATACAGATCAATCGCGAGTTCTTTATCGCCAAGAGATGAAACATACACACAATATTTTCGCCGAGTGACGACGGCGGCACCTTTGATTTTAACTATTCGGAATTCGGCCGAATATTAAAAAAGATGCCGAATATGCCGAATATTCGATGCAAGCCTATACACCACATACATCATACACTTATGCACACACATACATTCACGAAGTTTGATTTCATTCGATTCAGAATGACTTGAAATGACGAAAAAACATAAAATTAGCGGATTTACTTACGAAAACATAAACTTCTCCTTTAGGATGTTAAAATTTTATTGCGCGGACTCTGTATTAAGAATTCTTTAAAGTCGTGAAGTTAGCAAAGGATAGCAACCCAATCAGGCGACATTTACAATTTGTCATAGCATTTTGTCAATGTTCCGTCTAAAATTTGTGTTGTGGCATCTTGCGGATGTCACACGCGGCAACACTGACATTCTAAGAAACGAACAATAAGACAAGCCAGTGGAAATGTAACGGCCTGTCGGTCTCTATATCTGTAAACTGTAACCCTCGCCTTACATTCATAAAATCTTTCAGTTGTTTCAGTTATTCTGATTTCAAGTGTGTATATTAAATATAGTTACAGACAAGTGATTAGCATTTTTCGATAACGGTAATAACATTCGTACTTTCGTAGATAAATATGGCTGATAGAAAAATTCGTCGTCTCAGTCTCAAACGAAGGATCAATTGGGAAGAGGAAGAGGATAATTCAATTGATACTCGTAAGTAATTTTACAGAAAGTTCATTAATATAATATGTAACCTCACATAATATTTAAGGTAGTGATTGTAAGACCCAAACCAGTTCGGCAGATCATGAGGCCGGGAGCAGTCATGATCATACAAAATTAATGAAAGGTAAGTTCTCTTCTTACATTACATATCAATGCATACTAGGGATGTAATAAAATACTTTAATACTATCAGAGATCGAACGCATTGTGGATCAGAGTACTGCCGCAATGTGTGTGAAAATAGAGCAGCTAAAGAAAGACATGGATATAAAACACCAAGCACTTTTAAAAAAAATTGAAGAAAACTGCCAGTGTAAGAAAAGCCCTATTATTGAACCCGGACTTGCAGAGTTTGTTGATAGTAATTTACCCTTGAAAAATGAATGTAAACTACGAGATTTTGAAGAACAGCTCAGAGACTCAGCAATGAGGCAGAAAGTGGTAAATATGATGTAAATCTAATAATGAAGAAAAATAAATATGTTTCTTATGCTATTTTGAATTTTTCTTAGAAAACCCGACTGGCACGTGTTGGTGGTGGGTGTGATAGAACTGCCACTTATTCACTTTTGAGAAAAGTTTTTGATGATGCAGTGGCCAGAGAATATTGTTGGACTGGAGACAAAACTAGAAAAAATTTCTCAGCTCTGCTCACTGTAAAATTGATAATAGGTAGTGACATATATTTTAAATTACCTACTTTAAGTCATTAAAATAGATCATTAAAAACAATAATATTTACAGAAATTATTTGTGAGAATTTTGGTAATAAAACGGAGTTCATGGTTATCGACCATGTTAAAGGATGGTTGCGAGCTTCCAATTACAGATTCAAACGCCGCACTATGTAAGTTCAAATATACTCAATATACTTGGCAAATTATTTAGTTCTGACTAATAACTTTCTTTTATTCTATTATGGCAAGTCCTTGTGATATAAATTACATATATAATAATTCATATAATCATTATTTTCAGGGCTTTAGAAAACATAGACTGAAAGACAAATAGTTCATAAGCAAGACTAAGATATGATATACTTATTATTATAATATATATATATATATATATATATATATATATATATATATATATCTTATATAGATATATTAAAATACTTAAATAGGTTTATATATAATACATGAGTATAAAGTGTTAATAAAGATTGTTTTGTTTATTCAAAATTGTTTTATATTTATATTAAAAATTAGATTGTCATTTTTCAGAATTAATTAGAAAATTTGTGGCTATAGAATTCTTAAATATATTACAAAGCTAACACATGTATACGAAAATTAGGGAATGAATAATTTATATATGAACATGTTGATTTGAGAAACAGAAAATTTTTGGATTTTGGAAAGATGTTACTAAAAATCCAGAAATATAAATAGTAGATTGTAGATTGGAAAAATTGCAATACTTATCTCCATAAGTATTACAATTTAAATTATATATAAGCTGCCAATGACTCTTTATTTAGGTAATAATCATAGATAAGGATGGAAGGTAATAATGTTCCAAGGGTAGTAACGCAGAGAGCTTAAAACACATATAACTCAAAGAAATGAAGAAAATTGTCTATTATTGAATATGTTAGAAAAAATACTTATCTCACAGACCTTTCCAATTTGAGCAGGTAAAACTGCGGCTACGGCATTAGGAGTGTTTACACAAGACGTATTCATAAGCCTCTGCGCCATTGCTGCACTTTGTTGTCCTGAATCCCTGGTTAAGGAATTCTGCCTTGCCCGGTGAACGTGGGCCAGCCACGTAGCGTTACTGTGGAAAGTCTTGTCAGCGGCATAACAGCGCCAAAGACATTGAATGAGCATTGCTGCAGCAGGAATCTGCCGATTGAAGTGCTTTTGGCGCTGCTTTTGTTGGACCTTCAGAGCGAATCCGGAACCTAATATTCCCTGGAAAAGTAGTTATGACATCAGGGATTTAACATAAAATGTAATAATGATAATTATAATAAAAAATAAAAAAGTATTTTTATTTTTTGATAATATCAAGCAATTTCTATTTTTATTTAAAATAAGAAATCAGGCATCCATCAATCAGTATTATTTCTTTATAGCCTTAAGTATATCTAGTTGCAACTAGAGTCGAGTAATAATTATTACTCAATTACCTATTAGTAATTTAAGTATATAAACTCAATATACTAAAGTATATATTGATGATGACTAAAAACACTTCACGCTAAGCATGATCATTAGAAGGAAAAGAAACTAAAGTGGGCACATTCTGCAAAATGAGTGACTTTTACATGAATTCGCCAAAGGTAAAATAATAGGGCTAAAGGATTTTGGAAAAGAGTGCAGATGATTGATTACTTATGCAAGAAGAGAAAATACAGGAAATTGAAAGCCTAAGAGCAGAACCAGTAAACATGAAAGCAGAAGTTTGGGAAAGAAAAATGTATAAAAAAGTGAATAATGGTAACTAAATGGTAATGGGAATAATAAACAGGAGAGGAAACCAATCAATGATTTGTGGTGCTCTCACACCATGTCTTCGAGCAGACTACTATTTGTTATTTTTATCATAAGTTGATAATTGATTCTACAAAATAAGTTTATTAAAAAATTCGAGGTATCTGGTAAATTATATGGTGTCAAATGGTTTAAATAAATATTTGCTTGAAACAGACATTAAATGTCTTTATGTACATAATAAATAAACCATAATCACAATTCAATAGAATTTTGCATTGCTCAAAATAAATACTCACAGCTGGCAATGCAAAGAATGATATTGCAAACACACTAAAACAGGAAGCCACTATTTTGCCCATCCACGTTTGTGGAACAGTATCACCATAACCTATGAATAAATAAACAAAGTTTAATTTATTTAGAAAAAATTATCATATATAATTTTAAAATCATTTTGTTCGAAAGATGAATGTGTTTTTTACCTATAGTAGTAACAGTTATAACACCCCACCACAATGCATCAGCGTAACTTCGAAATGCCATCCGCCCATCGGGAGAAGTGGCATCTTTTTCCGCCAAATACACAAAATATGACGAAAATATTAGACCAAGAAAACCTATATACAATGTCGTGATCAGTTCCTGAAATAAATCAAACCAAGAGAATATTAGGTCTATTGATTAAAGAAAATAAGTTTTTAGAAAAATACCTGTCTATGTATAAAAACGACTGATCCCAGCAGCCTCCAAGAGCCTCCTTGCCTATCCACATGAAGCATTCGTAATATCTGCAGGAATCTAATGCCTCTGATGGCACTTGTGGCGAAAACTTGACCATTAGAACCAACGGACAAGACGATCATAGATGCTACTACTACAATAAGATCTGTAAAAATTAGAAATGAATATTAGACCAGCACAATCGAATAGAAAGATGCAGATTAATTAATTTTGATAATAACCAGAAAATAGCAACATGTGATTCTGTGGTCAATTAGAAATAAATGTTAGACAACCACAATCAAATAGTCAGGTACAAATTAATAAATTTTGATAAACAGATAATAACAAAATGTGAATGTTTTATCATATATTTTATAAAATAAAATGTCCAGAAAGTTTTTTTATGTGAAACCAAAAAGGCATCTATCGGAGATTAGTTTATGAAAATTACTAAATATGTTTTAATGCATTAATACGCAATAAGTTATTTTTGATACTTATACAATATAATAAACTTTTTCAGTTAAACTTTTTTTTTAATGTCCAGTTAAGGACAAAGGATTAAGAACTCAGTAGTTGTCTTCCCAAAATTCACAATATTAAATTAAGTTATTTCAATTTTTTATCATGGCCTAAATCCAGCGACGCTTTTCTTTTCAATCTTTTTGGATAGTTCTCTGTTATCAAGGAGTTTGCTAATGAATTTGGGTGACTGATTAGCTTGTTTCTATACTTGTGTGCTGTTTTTGTTATTACTTTATTTATGATAGGTGTATTCGTGTCGACATGAATCAACCAGTTGGGAACATATTTTGGAGCTCCTATTATTTCTATATTAGTCTTATGAGCACTGCCCCACAATTGTATACCATAGCACCAAATTGGTTTGAATAAAGATTTATATAAAAGTAGCTTATTGTATGAGAATAGTTTGGATTTAGTCCCTAGTAACCAGTAAAGCTTTTTGGTTTTTATCTCAAGTCGATTGGTTTCAATTCATATTCGGTTTTCTTTATATCAAATACAAATTTTGAATCATTGATTGTTTTTATGATAGTTTTAAGATATTATTTTTCACTTAACAGTTGCAATTTATAGTTAGTGATGAAAATATGTTTTTTATCGAATAAAAATAATTGGAACCCAGTTCAAAAATATATCCATTTATAAAATACGTATGATCAATATATTTTTTTATCAATAAATTCTTAAACCACTATTAGAATTAGAAAAATCATTGACGGTAAGGTGACTATATTTTTTAAAATCAAAACCGGCAAATGCAATAAAGAACAGTTTTTTTTTTCAAATAAATCAATTTATTAATAAAAATTGTACTTTTAGTAAGAACTTTACTATTCAATTATATGTAATACTCTTTTTTTACGTAGAATGTTATATTATGTATATTTTATATTTTTCTATCTATATGCTTTTTCGCTTATATTTTTATAATTTGAACCGCATAAAATTTTCTTGATTATTCACTTGAAAAATTAGCGCTTGTTCGTTCGTTTCCCTGAATTTCTTAATTTTTGTGAAATTGAAAATAAAAATTCAAATTTATCAATTTAAGAACTATTTTAACCCTCCTTTGAAAATTTGATTTTGTGCTTTTTTCTCATTCATATGAGGATACTCGTTGGCTTGTAACACACATAACATTTACATTCCATTTTGAGTTATTTAATGGGTAGTTATACTTTTTTTATCAAGTGCTTTTCGAAAACCCGGGACAATCCGGGACAAAAGATCTGAATCCAAGACAAATATTGCTTTAAAAAAAAACCCGGGACACAATGCGGAAATCCGGGACTGCCCCGGCCAAACCGGGATGCACAATGACCTTATTGATGGGTATAAAATCTAAAGGTTACTGTTCAATGTTCTCTCAAATAATATAGATATAAATTTCAGACTGGTAGAAAAAAATGAAAAAAAGTTTTTAAGTATCAGAATTTTTCATATTGTTATATAATAAAAACTAATCCATCTACTTTAAAAAAGCCTAAATTATATATTTCGCGAATTTCATTAATTTAAAACGCATATATAAATAAATATGAATGATATAAGTATTACCTATGATACATATGGGTTTTCTAATGAATCTTAATCTGCCACAGCATCCCATGTACTTTGATCTGCAACCGGCCGACCACAAACGTACTATGTACTCGACTCCAAAGAACACCACAAGGAATATTTCCTAAAGCAGATTATAAACATTTCAACATCTACATTATAATAAGAGATACATATATTATAATAATAAGCCTTAAAAAGAAAACAGTAAATAAACCATTTACCTTTTATTAACACTTGAAATTGTATAAAATAAGTTAATACTAAATCATCTTTTTTATGTTCATTTGTTTTTGTGCCTCTTATATATATTATTTTTTATTATTAAGCAGTCTACACTTAACTTGTTTTCAATTACCCTTTATTTTATTATTAGATTTTTTCTTTAAATTCACTACTTTGAATGTATAACAATAGTAACACTGGTACTTTTTTGCGTTTTTATATATTTTAGTAATGCTGTATAATATTAGGTTCAAAAATAATGAAAAGTTTATTTAGTTATATATTATGAGAGATGGCAATCAGTCATATACCTATTTTTAATAGCGATCAGAACTACATGTTTTATGAGTTCTATTTGCTATCCCACTTCATAACATAACATTTTTTTCGAAAGAGCAACCCAATTGTTCATTTTTTATATATAACTATTTTTTATATATAAATATTTGTTGCAGCAAAGCCCACAAAACGCAATTTTCACTAAAAATTCTATTTGAGATCTATAACCTCGATGACAAATTTGATTTCATACTGCTTGATATAGAGCT